GTACCTTGGTTGCGGGCATATCCCCAGTAGGGGGTGTGCAAGAGGCAGCTGATCGATGACTCTCTCTCATCGATGTTTCTAACTCTCTATCTCTCTCCCTTCCTCTCTGTACAAAAATCAATAAAATATATTTAAAAAAAAAAAAAAAAAAAAAAGAGTGTAGGCTCTGTTTTCAGATATCTAAAACCAGCTCTACTACTTACTAGCTCTGTAAGCTTGAGCATATTTATTTAATGTTTCTGTGCCTCAATTTTTCATATGTAGGATGAAGATAGGAAGAACATATACTTTACAGGATTGTGAAGATTAAATTAATTACTATCTGAAAAGCACATCAAGTAGTGCATGTAGCATAAGACCCAATTAGTATTACCTTTATTATCAAAATCGGCTACCCAAAAAAGGAAAAGTTTCTCTTGTTGCTTCTTAGTGATAATTTAAGTCAAATATTTCCAAAGAATGCATTACTAAGTAGCTGTAAGAGGCAGAAATAGAATATTGAGGACCAGCTACAGTTATAAGAAATATTAATCATGCTCTGTTAACCATGACAGTTTTGTTCTGGTTAAAGAAAGCACATTCTAACCTTGGTGAGAGTTATACACCCATGGGATGTGGGAGACAACCTTGGACCTGGGAACCAACCTTGGAATGAGGCCCATTCCCATCCTATTATCACAGAAAGATTAACAAACAACCTTGTTGCCCAAACAATGGAGTTTTGCCTACATTGCCTTAACCTGTAATCTTTATGCTCACTCTTGTTCCTTTTGCCTACTTCCCCTGTAATCTTAGTCCTGTCCAATATAAGCAGCTGGTTTATTTTGGGGGGAGAGGGGTGCAGCGCATATTTTCATATAACCTGCTGCACCCCAAACTGTCTGCATTATTGGAATAAATGCTCATATCTGATGCAACCCCTGTCTCTACTTAATTGGTTCAAGTAGTGACAGGCAGCCAAGACCCATTGGTTGTCCGGTTTCATAATTACTGGAAACACTGGTTTGATTAAAACCTGTGGCATTTTTTTAAAAATATATTTTATTGATTTTGTACAGAGAGGAAGGGAGAGAGATAGAGAGCTAGAAACATCCATGAGAGAGAGTCATCGATCAGCTGCCTCCTGCACACCCCCTACTGGGGATGTGCCCGCAACCAAGGTACATGCCCCTGATTGGAATCGAACCCGGGACCCTTCAGTCCCCAAGCCGACGCTCTATCCATTGAGCCAAACCGGTTTCGGCAAAACCTGTGGCATTTTTGAGAATCACCAGGTCTCATAAAAAACTTGCGTAAGGACTAGATAAGGAAATGACTAATATAACCCAATGCATGCTGGGAATGAGCCAATACCAAATAATCAAATATATATATATAGTTTTTGCTCAAAATTTATTTATTCTAATTTTTACTTATTATTTATTTATTTTTATTTTTAGAAATTAACTCTTTTTAAAAAATATATTTTATTGATTTTTCACAGGGAGGAAGGGAGAGGAATAAAGAGTTAGAAACATTGATGAGAGAGAAACATCGACCAGCTGTCTCCTGCACACCCCCCCAATGGGAATGTGCCCACAACCAAGGTACATGCCTATTAACCGGAATCGAACCTGGGACCCTTGAATCCACAGGAGATGCCCTATCCACTGAGCCAAACCGGTCTCGGCAATATCCCTTTTTTAAAAGGGGAATTTGTTGGCTTATGAAATCCAAAGAAGGGATGAACAGCCAAGTGTCAAGAACGGCAGGGCTGCAGAGGAAGCCCTGAGGAACAACTGGAAAGAAGGGCTCAAACTTTGATAGGCGTCTTCAAAACATTTGGCTTCTGCTGCTGTCTATACGACAGTTTCACTTTCACTACTGATCAGTTTTCTTTAAAGGAAGAACTGCATCCACAATGTTTATGAGTGTATGTTAAAGCTTTAGCCATTGGAGAGAGATCACCCCAATCTATAACTTGCCTGAAGCTCAAAAAATCTCAAGGAACTTGCTCTCTTGGCCCAGCAGATGGTAAGTGCCCAATTTGTGGTGGCCAGTCAGTTCCACAGTGAGCTAGCAAGATTATCCCAGGTGCTCATTTTCTTGGGTACTTTATGAAAGACATGAATCTTGAACACAGGGCATGATATAGTTAGGTAGAAGGAAAGAAAGCCAGTATTTGAAGTAGGGGGAAGAGACTGAATTAGTGATGTAGGTGGTCTGTGAATGAAAGACAAGCCTGATTGGAATGGAGGCTACATCCTTGTTCCCTCTGGCAATAACACTGGATTGCTAAGGAAGAAATTGGTTATGATGGAACTAAAAGGTACAACAGAATTTGTTCAAGTTGAAGCAGCCATTACAGGTTTCTTGTACAGACTGTGACTCTGAAACCCCAGTTTATAACACAAATAAATCCCCAACCACTTCTTAGAAAGCTCCTTCTTTGTCAACTAAACTTGGTTTAGGGTTGTGGCCGTGGGTATAAAGAAGAATGGTTGAGCCCTGGCTAGCGGTTCAGTGGTTAGAGCATCGGCCTGTGCAGGGAAGGGTTTTGGGTGTGATTCTCAATCAAGGGCATGTACCTGAGTTACAGCTTCAATCTCCAGCCCTGATCAGGGCTCGTGCAGGAGGCAACCAAACGATGTGTCTTTCCCTCTCTCTTACACTCTCTCTAAAAACCAATGGGAAGCCGGGACTGGTTTGGCACAGTGGATAGAGCGTCGGCCTGCGGACTGAAAGGTCCCGGGTTCGATTCCGGGCAAGGGCATGTACCTTGGTTGCGGGCACATCCCCAGTGGGAGGTGTGCAAGAGGCAGCTGATCAATGATTCTCTCTCATCGATGTTTCTAACTCTCTATCCCTCTCTCTTCCTCTCTGTGAAAAATCAATAAAATATATATTTTTAAAAATCAATGGGAAAATATCCTCGGGTGAAGTTTTAAAAAAAGAAGATAAAGAATGGGTGAGAGAATTCAGAGAAAGACAACACCCACTCAAAAGACAACACCCACTCATCTAGTCTAAGAGCCTAGAAGGATGATAGCATTTAACAGTAATCTCGGTGAACATAAGCATCTTGAAAGCAGATGTCTTAATAACAATTCATCTCCAGGAATCTAGCACAATCGGTGCTTAATTCATAAACTAAATGATTCTCATAAAATGGCTTCTCAACCCCTTCTAGCTCTACAATTCTATGTCCATTTCTAAATTCTGATCTTTAGTCTTTGAAGTCCTCAAATAACTGCACACACACAAAGATAGGTGTGTTTTTTTTTTAAAGGTTAAGATGGTGAATTTCATGCTATGTATTTTTGACAATAAAAACTGGCCTCTAAAACGATAGGTTGTTTAAAAATATACATTTGAAAAATGTCCAAAGACATTTTATAAATCTGGTCTTTGGTGTCAGAAGGCTGGCAACTTATCTTAGATTTTCTTCCCAGTTACCTTTTTAAAGCCGTTTTGATGTCTCTCTTTTGCTTAAAAGCTTTGCATCACTCCCGACTGCCTACAAAATATAATCCCCAGCTCAGCATGCAAGGCCTTTACAATTTGATCCTATCTTCCCTTTCTAACTTCATTCCAACCACCTTCCCACCCTGTATTCTGTGAGCTGCTGTTTACTAAATACATATTTACTCAATTCCACCCCCTCTTTATCCCTTTTTCTCTCTTCCTAAAGTAGGCTCCTCCATCTATTGGTACTTTGCTCTGTAATGACAATCCATCTGAACAGCATCACCTCTTCACACCTTTCCTGCCATCCTGGTGCACTTTTTCTTCTCCCCAGAGCATGTGCTACCGTCTCTATTTTAGACTTTTCTCTGTTCTCTATAGTGGGCCCGACTCTGTCTCCCATTTATATTGTGAGCATCTTGAGGGCAGGGATAAGTCACAGCTTAACAATTGCACTGAGAGGAGAACTCTACCTGGGAAAGCAGAAAAACGTTTCCAATGACATAAGCGCGGAGGAATTCTCCAGCCTGTTTCTTGGAAGAGGTCCAAATTCTTTCTTTATAGGCATTCACCTTACCCAAAATAACTTCCTCAAGTTCTGAGACTTTCTAATAAAAACTGTTCTTTCTAGAGGTCAGATCTGTAACTTGTGAGACAGACACCTAATCAAACAAACAATAAAAGTCTACACACTGCATTCAGCCATCAATTTCTGTGCCAGCCCCGCAGCTATTAGTTTTTAAAATATATTTTATTGATTTTTTTTTTTTTTTTTTTACAGAGAGTTAGAAACATCGATGAGAGAGAAACATCCAACTACCTCCCGCACACTCCCCACTGGGGATGTGCCCGCAACCAAGATACATGCCCAGGAATCGAACCTGGGACCCTTCGGTCCTCAGGCAAACCGGTTTCGGCAGCTATTAGAATTTATGAAAAGGAATTCCTACAGGTGAGTCAAAAGCACCTGAGGTCTCGGTGCTTCTACCACCACATTTGGTCAGCGGCACAGCCTCGTCCTGGGAGCCACACCCAGCCCTGTCCCCGCGGGTCCGCTCCGTCAGGACTGGTGATGATTTAGCCCAACGACTCGGGGCGCGTGGTGGTTCCTTCGCCTTCATTCACCGTTTGGTTCCGCGCCAGCGGGATATCCGGGTGCTCGTCCGGCCGCGGCACCGCTGGAGCGAGCCCGGGACCGGGACCGTGGCGAGGAAGCGGGGCTGGAGTTGGGGAGGGAGAGCAGGCGCCGCGACGCCCGGCGGCGGTTCAGGCGAAGCCGAGGGCGCAGCGGAGGGGACTCGGCACCCAGACGCCGGCGGCGCGCTCGGCGGCCGCGCTCCCTCCCGGGCGGTGGGCGGGGCGGGGCGGGCGAGGGGGCGGGGCCCGGCGCGCGCCGGCGCGTGGAGGCCGCGGGCGGTGGCGGAGCGCGCGGCGAGGGAGGGGCGCGCGGCGGCTGTGGCCTGTGGCGCCGTCACCCAGCAGAACCCGGCGCGCGGGAACGACTCGGGGCCGTCGTCCTCGGGTTCGTTCGCGGACCGCGCGCGGGTCCCGTTACCATGTCGCTGGGGCAGCGCCTGGCGCGGCTGGCGGCGCGCCTGCAGGACCCGCACAAAGTGGCGCGTTTCCAGCGGCTGTGCGGGGTGGGAGCGCCGCCGAGCCGCTCCGCCGCCGCCCCGGGGGAGGGCGAGAAGGCGGAGGCGCCGCACTCCGGGGACGCCCGGGGCCGAGAGCGCCGGCCCGGGGCGTGCGGGGGCCCCCAGCCCCCCGGCGGCGACCGCAATCAGTGCCCGGCCAAGCCGAGCGGCGGCGGTAGCGGCGGCCTCGGCGGCGGCGCCCCCAACGGCGTGCGGAACGGGCTGGCCGCCGAGCTGGGCCCGGCCTCGGCGCGGCGGGCGGGCGCCCTGCGGCGGAACTCGCTGACGGGCGAGGAGGGCGAGCTGGCCCACGTGAGCAACTGGCCGCTCTACTACCTCTTCTGCCTGGGCACCGAGCTGGGCAACGAGCTCTTCTACATCCTCTTCTTCCCCTTCTGGATCTGGAACCTGGACGCGCTGGTGGGCCGGCGGCTGGTGGTCATCTGGGTGCTGGTCATGTACCTGGGCCAGTGCACCAAGGACATCGTCCGCTGGCCGCGGCCCGCCTCGCCGCCCGTGGTCAAGCTGGAGGTCTTCTACAACTCCGAGTACAGCATGCCCTCCACCCACGCCATGTCCGGCACCGCCATCCCCATCTCCATCGTGCTCCTCACCTACGGCCGCTGGCAGGTAAGGCGCCTTCCCTCGCCGCCTCGCCCCGCGCAGCCTCCGGGCGGTGCAGGCACACGGCGTTCTCCCTGCCGGCCACGGCCACGGCCACGGCCACGGTCATTGTCACTGGGCGGCTCGCGCCCCTCCCTCCCTCCCAGACTTGTCTTTTCTGCAAGGGTTTCCCGGCGCCCACGCGCAGGCCCGTTCCTAGGTTTGAAAGAGTGTAAGTGATCGGGGAAACCTGGAAGACTTGGCCATCAAGCCGTGTTTTCATAGTGAACGAACGCCTTTCTGAGCACCCAGAGGAAACTGTGTTTGAAGGAATACATGATCGTTGGGCTTTGATCGAGTTTTTTTTTGTTTTTGTTTTTGTTTTTAACGGGTTGAAGCCTTGTGATGCACAGAATATAGTTGTGATGAAGGATTATGTCCTTAACATGAGTTGTCAGGTAACCAAGATTATGTTTCACCGTAGTATGTGGTGTCGTCTCCCCCCCCCCGCCCCAAACTGACAGTTTCAGGCGTAGGCAAAGTTGTGTGCTCGGCTCTGAGACAGTGTTTAACACAGTGTCATTCCCAAACCAGCATGGTCAGACCAGGCAGTGGCTTTTAAACGAAAGAGCTTCTACCCATTATGGAAGTTCATGGAGAACAAGCCCGAGTTCTCTTTTTTAAGGGGTGTGGTTGCAAAGTTGCTGATGTGGCGCATTTTATCTTCTGGATCACTAATCTGTAGTATCAGTTGTTGAGCTCCTGCCTTAGGCTCGTGGCATTAGTTTTTGTGTGTGTGTGTGTGTGTGTGTGTGTGTGTGTTTGTGTTTTTTTAAGTGTGGTTTTATTCTTAAAACGAGAGTTCTTGATCAGATGGGTTTGTAGAAATGGCAAGCAGAGTAAGCTTAATAATTTGAGAAGAGTATTTACTTGGTAAACTCTTTATAGTTTGCCCACTTCTTTTGGCTGGTCCGTAAGGTAAGCTTAAAAACTCTTTCTTAAAGATGCAAAAGTTATTCTTAGGCTGCTGTCTTGTTTATGTAGTGTTTTAAATTGTAAGACCAGTCCCTTAGTTTAAGAATAAAGTTAATATTTATGGGGGAATATAAGGAGTCAGATTTTCTCTAGGTTTTTTCCATTACAGCATAAAATCATCTTACATTGAGAAATACCCCTTCTGTGTAACACACCTTTATGATGAGCTTACTTCTTCCAGATTTAGTTTCATTATAGATAACATCTTGTTCCCACGGACACTTCTGCCAGTGCCTCTCTCTTACCGCACATGGAAAATACGCAATGTGCACACTAAGAATGACACAACTCCGAGGGAAAGGTACCGAGGACAGGCTTTCTTTCCTTTTTTAAGAAAAGGAGATTTACAGTAGTGTTCAGCTGATAAAGTGGTGCCCCCTTGTCTTGTGTACAGATAAATATCTCAAATTTATTTAATCTAAATATTTCACAAGTTAAGGTACTGTATTCAGTTACGTTTGGCATGATGTTCACTGTTTAGCTAATGTTTTTCATATATTCATGAGGCTTTCAGGAATCTATAATTATGTAACTCCTCCTCAATGAGTAGTTATGTTGCATGCTATTAATATTAGCAGAGAAAATATTTATCATTCATCATTCATTCAGAACATGCTATAACAGGAAGTTTGAACAAACCTAGTATATTTAATTCAAAGTTTGAGGACTTTGTATACAAATTTTAGAATTGGAGCTATACAGGATTTTAGAAATTTCCTAGTTGCAAACTATCATTTTACTCATGTGGAAACACTAATTACACTTATATAATTAATTTAAATTCATTATTTTACATTTTTTATTATAAATTTGAAATATACATCTAAATTTGAATAATTGTTTATCTTTTGGTTACTTGTTTTGAAAGATAGGCTCCTTTTTATGAAAGTTTTATGTTTACAATTGTTTGTAATAATTCAGTAAAAAAATAAAAAATGATATTTTTTATTGGTTTTTAGAAAGGAAGGGGTGGGAGAAAGAGAGAGAGATTTGTTGTTCCACCGACTTAAGCATTCATTGGTTGTGCCCTGGCCAGGGATCAAACCTGCAACCTTGGTGTATCAGAATGACCCTCCAACCAACTGAGCTACCCAGCCAGGGTGACCTTTTTTTTTAAATTGGAAAAAAAAAAAAAAAAGTTTAATATGTGTGCATGGAGGATTCACAAAGTCATGGTAAATCCATGAAAATTCTCAAAGATAGTGAGCCAACACTGGGTTTATAAAACTATTTAAACAAAGGAAAAAGGGGAAGGCAGGGAAAGGGGTATTTTAGAAGTGAGAATGGGCCAGGTGATAAAGGGCAGAACTCACTGGGCAGGACTGTCCCCTAAGGCCCCTCATAAACAATCGGACACAATGGGTATCCAGACAACGGCAGGTGCCTGAAGCCCTCTTATTTACCATATTTAACTCAAATTAGGGCAAGGCAGCATCCTAAAATACCCTTCCTGGAGCATGTTTTTCCTCTATCTGTATCTCTTAGGCAGGAAAGGAGGGGGAGGGCATAGTCTAAGGTTTTGAGTTTTTTGTTTCTTAATAAGTGGCTTAAAGTCAATATCCAAAAAGCAGCTTCAGGTTGGCATAATTTTTGTCCTTTTAGTCTTGCCTTTGAAATCCTACATAATAAAAGGCTAATATGCAAATGACCAAACCGTGGCATGATGGGTCACTGTGATGCATGCGGACCACCAGAGCAGACACTCAACGCAGGAGCTGCCCCCTGGTGGTCAGTGTGCTCCCACAGGGGAAGCACAGCTCAGCCAGAAGCCGGGCTCACTGTTGGCTGGTGAGCCCAGTGGCGGTGATGGGAACCTCTCCTGCCTCCCAGGCAATGCTAAGGATATGCCTGATTGATGGCTTAGGCCCGCTAAGCCGTCAGTTGGACATCCTCCCAGGCTGCTAGAGGGTGCAGGCCAGGCTGAGGGAAACCCCCAAGTGCACAAATTTTGTGCACCAGGCCTCTAGTTTTAAATAATAAACTTTCTACATTCTAGAAGCAACCAGTAAGTTGGTAGCTTCCTCCGTATTTTATTGGTTCAGTCATGCAGTTTCGAGAATAATTCAGTTCAGTTAAATGTGTTGAGTTTCTTTTCAGGAGGCTGTGATGCACATAGTAGGTTCCCAGAGTGAGGCCTATACTGTGTATGCAAGCAGTCAGGTATTTAACAAGGAGTATGTCTATGAATGCAAAAGAAAAAAAGGGTAAAGATCAGAGCAAATTATAAACCAGTTCCTGAGTTTGTAAGGCTGTCAGTCAAGATAATTTCTGAATGTAAGTCTCAAAGTTTCTTTGCTGGAATGAAAGTAGGCAGTGACTGTCTGATCTTACTTGTCTGCCTTGTTTAATGTCTCTGACAATGCCATCCGATGCTCTGGTGAATTCTGCATGGCTTACAGAGCGTCAGTCACTGAGACTGTTTAAGTATGAGCTGTTGTGGCGATTTTTCTGAAGTCTATATTATGTGCTTTAGCTGCCATTTGGAATTGCAAGACTCAGAAAAATTTTAGTTTTTAGTAATTCCATGTCAAAGGACGGTAGAAAAATGAAAAGTTTGGAGGGTTATAGCCAAATATTTAAGAAAATTAGAAAAATTCAGGAGCCAGTCCAGTATATAGGTGAAAATTAAACCTTAAATACAATTAACTGAACTAGAGTCTAATATCCATAACTGTATTATGCAGGGTGTGGCAAAAGTAGGAGTTTGGGGCCGAAACCGGTTTGGCTCAGCGGTAGAGCATTGGTCTGTGGACTGAAAGGTCCCGGGTTCGATTCTGGTCAAGGGCATGTACCTTGGTTGCGGGGACATCCCCGGTGAGGGGTGTGCAGGAGGCAGCTGGTCGATGTTTCTCTCTCATCGACGTTTCTAGCTCTCTATCTCTCTCCCTTCCTCCTTGTAAAAAAATCAATAAAATATATTTTTTTAAAAAGGAGTATGGTAAACAGAGTTTATCATGTATTATTACTTATTAATTATTGTATTATTTTCCATATGAACAACTTAAATCCACATTTGCCCAACCCTGTAGATTCTATGGAAACACAATTTCTCTACCTAAAATCACCCTCATTTTTCTCAAAGATGGTCACTTACTGCCTAAGTCTAGTTTCAATAAATTTGGCTTGATTATTTGCAAAAATTCAACAAGAATAGTAATTGATCCCATAGACTTTCTTAAATCTGAGACTCACAAGGAATCTCCAGATTGAATTTTCAGTAGCCTCTCCGGTGAAGAAGCCATGCCACATAGTTGCTGTCCTACCTTCCCACAGATTTGGGTGAATTCCTCAAGTTCTTGAGGTACCCCAAAATGCCGGGAGGTTCTATCTTTGCCATCTCCCAGGAAAGCCACCTTCATTCTTCACCTGGAAAGACCACTATAAACCAGGTAAATAAGCAGGGCACCAAACAGTTTTTTCAAGGGGCTTTTATCAGCTTCCAAAGTCAATCTTTTTTTTTTTTAATTAATTAATCAGAGAGACAGGAAGGGAGAGATAAAAACATTGATTTGTTGTTCCATGGATTTAGTCATGACTCTTGTATGTGCCCTGATGGGGGTTGAGCCTGCAACCTCGGTGTATTGGGACAATACTCTAACCAGCTGGGCTACCTGTCCAGGACCAAAGTCAGTCTTAATTCCTTAAAGCTTTCTGGTGACATCCAGAGTCTATGCAGGTATCTCTTAAAAATGACATTCACTGCCGAAACCGGTTTGGCTCAGTGGTAGAGCGTAGGTCTGCGGACTGAAAGGTCTCAGATTCGATTCCGGTCAGGGGCATGTACGTTGGTTGCGGGCACATCCCCAGTAGGGGGTGTGCAAGAGGCAGCTGGTCGGTGTTTCTTTCTCATCGACGTTTCTAGCTCTCTATCTCTCTCCCTTCCTCTCTATAGAAAATCAATAAAATATATTTTTAAAAAATGACATTCACTCAAGATCTTGTTTAATAAAGCCAGTTTCCACCTGGTAGTGTGGTTTAGTGGGAATGTTGAC